GATGTGTGCACATACTCTAAGATGAGAAAATGACGTTTGGATGTAGCATTAGCTAAATCTGTAACCTGTTGGTATTTTTTGTTCTTTTCTCAACTTTCTTACTTGTATCATACTTAAGTGAACTCATTGCTGGACGTTACAGAGATGCAGTTGATATATACTGCTGCACAGACTAAAACAAACTCGTCTGGTCTCAAACCAAATTCAAATGTGTGAGAACTTAAGTGATTAAATATTGAGTTAATTTTTTTTTGAAAATCTGCCCACTCTGTTCCTTCTGTCTCTTGTGTAGCTGACTGAGTGGTTCTAAGATTTTGTTTTGTGCTTATTGTTCAACTTTAGGGCGAGAAGATCTTCTTTGATAGAGACGTGTGAGTACTTTGTGTTTGTTAATTATAACCTGCATTTGATCTACATTGAGCTGCAACAATGACTTAACTGTAGTGTATTGTACTGTCTTGTTAGAAAATATATTAATTAAGTTTAAAACTATTTACATTTACATTTTTTACTTGTCAAATTAATTTGACTTTAAAATGCCTTTTATGCCGAAGTCAAATAGGTTTAAGCTTACTTGAAATACGTAAATACTAGACAATACATGAAAAATGTCTGACAGAAATGACCATGGTCGATTTCTGTGCTTAACAAAGTGTGCTTTAGGGCAGGTCAAAACCAGAATGCTTCTCTACAGAGAAATATCGGTTACAAATATTCTCAAATGTTCTTGTTCTTTGAGGTGTTTTGTCTTCATATGAGGTCGCGTAACTCTTTTACAAATCATCCTTATGGCTTTTTGTACGGCTTTTTAATTTTTTTATTTATTTATTGTTACTATTATTGTTGTACAGTCCTGTAGTATTTGCCAAAGTGATTTGCCACTAAATTGTAATAAATAAATTCACATACAGTCGAACCTCCGGTTGCGACCACCTCTCGTAAGCGACCACCTCTCATCAGCGACCACAATACCAGAAGTTTTGTTTTTCCACAATACCAGAAGTTTTCAAGTCAAATCACTAGATTTGGAACCTCTTGTAAGCGACCACCTCTCGTAAGCGACTGTGACCACTTTTAGAACTAACAGTTTGAGATTTCTTTTGTTCTTAACCTCCCGTAAGCGACCACTTGACGGATAATAGAGTGGAAATTGGATTTAAGGTGTTGTAACATTATCGCATTCCTGGGTAGTACAAGAGAAGGAAATTTTTAACGGGAAGTACCATATTTTTTCTCGAAATTGACTTTTCATGTGAATAAAACGTTTAAAACATGTGGTAAGTCTCCACAGGTACAATATGCTAGTGAGACAAAATTTTGTCCCAATATGGTCTTCGTTCTCGTAANTAAGCGACCACTTGACGGATAATAGAGTGGAAATTGGATTTAAGGTGTTGTAACATTATCGCATTCCTGGATAGTACAAGAGAAGGAAATTTCTAACGGGAAGTACCATATTTTTTCTCGAAACTGACTTTTCATGTGAATAAAACGTTTAAAACATGTGGTAAGTCTCCACAGGTACAATATGCTAGTGAGACAAAATTTTGTCCCAATATGGTCTTCGTTCTCGTAAGCGATCACATATACCTGGCTTTTTGGGTGGTCGCTTACGGGAGGTTCCACTGTCGTGGCCTTTTTTAGTGTAAATGGTAATATTTCTGTTTGTTGTCATAGATTTGTTCAGGCGAAATCAAACAGTACAAGACAGCTGTTGGAGTTCATTCTTCAGCTACAGATCTTTGAGCAGGTAATGGCTTAATATTTTATGCGCTTGTTTTCGTATTGATCAGCGTAGTGACTGAGTAGGGAGCTATCCTAGATCTGATAATTAAGCGATTTCCGTTACTCTTTTGTCGTCTATTACAAGCATGTTAATATCACGCGCGTTGTTGTTATCACAGATTGTAACTGAACTTTAAATTTCTAATTGATGATGAATCTGACGCCTTTGAATACAATATATTTCGATGTAGGCATTGAAATTTGTTTTATTTTTATTTGCAGTTTATTGCAGAAAGGCTGGACATGTTAAATGATGGAAGAGGATTTAATGATGCATTTGAAGAACAGATCGGTCTGCAAGCTGAAAGTAAGTAAATTAGCATTTTATCTGGCTCTTTTTTTTAACTCTAATTATTTTCTGGCCAATATGTAATGTTTTTTTCGGCGGGTGAACCAAGAGCCGGAAAACACGTATGCTCTCTCTAAGCCTAATGTAAAATCTCTCTCTTTGCTGGAGCGCTTGATTAACTTGTGTCACTCTCATTTTGAGTTGTTTAACTGGGGAGATTGGTTCATAAACAGTGTGCAAAATGTTGGAGCCAATCAGAGTAAATGTATTATCTTATTAACCAATGAGCTGCAAAGCTGCAACCAGTCTTGATATGGCTTGCGTAACTTTTTCCCACCCCAGCTGATAACGAAGTATATTTGATAATGAATGTTCTTGTCCGGCCACCGGAGTAAAACAGGCCTTTGGAGAAATGTTTTCGATGTATATTGAGAAAATAATTATGTATAATTTCTTGCAGATAAAGGAAGCTGGAAGTCACAATACCAATTTTGGATGAAAGAGACTGTGGTAAGAAATTTATAACAAGACTTATCTGTAATCTTCTGTTTCTTCGCTGGGAGAACAGTTCGCGTTTTTATTCCTCCATATTGGATGAGCCGGCTGTAAACATAGCGCGAACTACAGAATTAATGCATCGGAAACGGAAAGATTGGTTCTGATATTTGTGTGGCGAGTACTCTGTAATTACTTTGGTTTAATTTTTTAATTTTAGATTGCAGTTTCAAAACACTCACGCCAACTAGCTATTTTAAACCAGTCAGATACAAGATCGAAACCAATCGCAAATTGGATCGAGAACTACGTTTTTCCCGCGCTTGGCGCCGGTGGCGCGTGTTTGCTTTGAGTTCTTATTGGTTCATTGTGTTGCTTAAGTTCGCTGTGATTTGCTCTTTAATGTGATTGCTCTGAGTTTGGTTTTATTTGATTTCTGACAAACACACAGTCTGTTATTGTAAAAGACCAACAATCGTTAGAAGTGTTGTTTACTGCCGTTTAGTTGTTTACTTGATGTTGATACTCTGTGTTATATTTACAGAAATCCGGCGGAGCATTCCTTGACAAGGTAAACTAACAACTTTTAGTTCATCGCAAGAAATGTTAGAAATGATTCTAGCGAAGTTTTCTTTCTTTCTGCCAAAAATTTACTTAACGCGCTTGGGTGTCCGGCATGTTTCAACCCATCCGTTGGTAGTGTTTTGTGTGCAGCTGCAGTTGCCGTCCTGACCCGCACGTGTTTTCGCGAGACAGAGCATTGGGTACTAGTTGACATTTTTAAGCAAACGCGCCAAAAAGTAGATTGTCAGTTATGAAATAATAATTTGGAATGTTCTTTGTTTTGCTCAGACGGAGAAAATGGTTAAAAAACAGTGCAAGAGCGGCTGGAAAACCGTGAAGAGTGGAATTAAGTCGGTTAAAGCTGACTTGGAGGACAAACTGAAGGGCAAGGTATTATAACATGTTAGATGCGATTGTCTTTTCATTGAGAAAGAAGAGGACTTCAGTTGTCCACTGTTGTGCTTGGAGGTTGTTTTTATGTTTTTTTTTCTTTTTTTTTAAGAAAGCCTTCTTCCTCTGAGTATGTTAGAACAATCACGCACTAACCCCCACTGGACGTTTAGTAGCACGCCCTTGTAAGGAGAAATTCATCCAGCCAATGTTTGTAACTGAACTTTGTTTGTAGGAAGAGGAGGAATTTGAAGGAGAGCAGAAGAGAGCCAACACTAACCCAGACGTCAAACCGTTTTCAATGCACAAACTGTCCCCTTTCAACAAAAGAAGAACGATTTCACCTTCTGAGGTAAGAAAGTGATGGTCGACGTCCGTTTTATACAGAGATGCCCTTTCACTGTTTTTGATCTAATCTTGAAGATTTGTATCAAAGCAAATCAAACGGAAGATGCTGAACTGCTTTCGAAGTTATACGAAACCTACTGCGATGTCAAAGTATGGCGAGGTTATTACTGATTTCTTTGTTGTTTCCTTTATTTAATTTAGTTTGCAAAAATCAAAATCGAAAGTGGCGCGAAAGAGCGCCCTCCCAGACCTCCTCCGCCCAAGCCCTACAGTGCTTCTGCCAGGCGTCCTCGCACTGGCGCCATTTCGACAGCAGAAGGCAAATCATCTCCTAAGCTAGTGACTCGGCGCAGTGCCCCTCATTTAACGGTGGAGCCTCTTGTGGGTGAACTTATCTCATTGGATGATAAACCAAACAACTCAAATGAAAATGAGATGGCCCAGGGATCAACAGATTTAAAGGTGAGCAATATGACACTTACCCTAGGTTTCTGTGGTTAATATTCCCAGTACTTGCCTAGGGTTTCTTGCATGAAGTGACTAGGAGTACATTTCGTCCCCCTCCCCCTCCCCCTGGATGGGACACTAGTCCACCCAGGGCTACCCCCAGCGTTATCCCCATTTATACACGTCGGGGGGATAGGCAAGGTGAGAGTAAAGTGTCTTACCCAAAAACATAGCACAGTAACCCCGGCCAAGGCTCGAACCAGGACCCCTCGATCGGATGTCGTACCTACTGACAATTACGCTACCGCACCTCCCACGTGTTATATGTCAGTGTGTTTAAAGAGCAACTGAAACAGCAGCTCACTTCTATACAATGTGTATACACATGATCTGCTGTTTTTTTTTTTTTTTTACAGGAATTAGCTTTCTTAGATGCATCTAGTGAAGATTCAAATCGAATAGAACAAACTCAAACACACGACGGCTCTACAGGCGTCGTCACGCCTTCTGGAACTTTCAGCGTTGAGGAGCTGAACACTAGCATACGACGCACAAGCTCGGCGAGGCGAACATCGGAGAGCAGTGATGTGTCGCTAGAGCGGAGTAAGTCATCACCGTCTCGGACGAAGCCTCCAGTACCAAAGAGACCAGCATCTGTCCAGAAAAAGCCTCAGGTGTCAGTAGACGCCTTATTAGAAAGCGCACAAACAGAGGACTCTATATCTCCATTGAGACCGGTGTCGTTGTCATTGTTACAAGATACAATGGCGTCGCTTCCTGTTGATGCGCAAGAGTTTTTGTTTTCGAATACGGACATTAACTCGCTTCCACTCGGTACTGGTGGACAGAGTAACATGAAAACAAACTTGAATGTGGAAAATAAAGGAAAAGAGTCTGAACTCCAAGAGAATTTAAAAGCTCAAAATCATATAGGGGCTGTGGATTTATCACGCCTGGAAATAAGAAGAGACAGTGGGCCTTATGATAATGTACCGAAGAACAATCAAGCGCTGCTTACACGAAATTTAGATATTAATACAGAAGAGAGCCATTGTGAGAATCCAAGTAAGACTTGTGATTCCCAGCAAAGTTGGGTTAGTTTTGATTGATGTAGCTAATATATGAAGGAGTAGAAATTTGTCGTGGGGGAGATTCGAGTCTGATCTGATTGGCTGCTCGCGTGTTCTCATACCTAATATTTATAATGTAAAAATAAAAATAAAATAATTCTTTTCACCACGGCAAATTTCTTCTAAAACAGTTTAAATATTTGGCGATATCGATGGTCACCTAGCGATTCTTGGTTGAACAACTCGAGCTCGTAGTAATATTGTAGTTAACAAGCGAATTTTATTGAGAAATAATTATAAGGATCTAAAAAGGAATTATGTCAATTTTCGTCGGTTCTATATTTGAATGAAATTTACTACTAGTATTTTTGAGGTCAGTGGCGTGTAGAAATCTTCGGGAACACGTTTGCTATATGTTTTAAAGTTTTAATCGTTTCGAGGAGTGATTGGACAATCTCGACACAGAAAGATCAGTTTGTCTTTTAAGACAAGGCCACTGTAGTTTTGTGGTACAAATTTAAGATGCAATCTGGTATTGCATTCACAACAAACCGTTGTACTATAACTTACGAAAAGTTTTTTTCTTGTTAAGAATAAAATATATACCCGTGATGTCGTTTCACGCCATTTTAGGCCTAAAAGTGATGAATCGATTGTTTCTCCATACTGCTCTGAAACGTCATTGACTAGGCAAGTTATGAGAAAGTAGAACTTCATCAACCAGGCAAGGCTGTTTCAATGTGCCAGTAAATGTTCATAATTAAATAAATTTCTTTTCCCTCTTTGGAAAGTATCTATTGGCTACGTGTATTTCTACTAGCACTGAAGGATTAATAAATGTAGTATTTTTATTACAAATGAAATATTTTTTTCATTTTCCTCATTTGTTTTGTTGAATGGTAAAAAAAAGGCCAATTGATTTTGTTTTACCTCCCAGCTCAAATACGTTTTCCGGCTGGAGGGGAACGTGTCACGTGTCATGGGTCAAAACTCACTAACTCCCTTTAACTTTCGACAGGCACGTGATCAGGTCGTGCTCCTTGAAACCGCGGCAAATTTGTTGTGCCAGCTGGCGTCAAGTAAATAATTTTTTCACAGTTTGTTTCCTATTTTTGAGTTGGGAGGTAAAACAAAACACTTAATGGCTGGGCCCCATGACCTCAGCAATGTTCAACACTGAGGGTCTCGGGGAAGCAAAACGCAGTGTTTCCCTTGGGGCCAGTCATTAAGTGCTTATTAACCTCGGCTGTTAAGAGAACTCAGGCGCGTTTCCACTGGCCGAGGTAAGCTGATGATAGCTTCAGTGAGGTTCATGTAACGTACAGATTGTTTTTCCTTTAAGATAATTCGGACAAAAACATGGGTGCAAGAAACAACAGAAATGTATCTCAGCGTTTGCAATAGGCCATATTGGTATTCTCGGTATCGGACTGGAACTAGCTTGTAACTGAGGCTAATGCAGGTAGTCTTTTCAAATGCAACTGAGATTAATCTCTTTTTAATGATATTCCCTCGCATGAGCCTCAATTCCAAGCTAGTTCCAGTCCAATACCGAGAATACGAATATGGCCTATTCTAAGGTTGCAAAATAATCTCCAGTTCAGTTTATAAAATTAAACAAAAAGCAAACAAAAACCTCTGCAGCACCTGGGTGTTTGATTAATTGCTCTCATTTGAGTAGTCACATCATATAATTAGAATAACATTAAATTAACTCGACAGTTGACTCTTGGAGTGGACGGGTTAAGTAAATATCACGTTTATTGCTCCTTCAGGTGTTACGGACATCTACGTTTCCTTTAGCGCGATGAACACACTAGTTAATAGACTGGTACAAAAACGAATTCGGCTAACTTTGCCAAATTTAAAATAACGAATCTTTACTGCTGTACGGACCAGTAACTGGTTTACTCGACATAACTGGTTTGCCATCGGCTTTTGGACCCCACAAATGACCTCGTTAGAGTGTTAATTATATATTCTGTGGGAAAGAGATTTTTTTAAAAGGTGCGGTACATGTACAGATGAATTATCAATTAAGAATAATCAGAAATAAAGGCGGTCGTTTGCATCAATTTCCTTGGCTGTTGTGTATATTTAGCTAACGGCGGTTACATTAATAGAATAGCCGAAGCATGTGTTGCGCCTTTGCCTGTTCAGGCGTTCAGTTAGTTGGGGTGCAGCGCGAAAAATAGCGCATGAATAAATAGGGAAGAGGCGCGGCGCGGAAAGGCTCCTCGTACCAAGTCTCTCTCATCTTTTTTTCACTCAGCTGTTCTCTTACGCGCTGCGCGCCAACCAAATGAACGCCTGAAGAAGCAAGTTGCGCCGCCATAAGTACAGTCAAACAGATTTTGCGCTTCCTACACTTAAGCGATATTTCAAACAAATGATGCCCTCAGCACATGCAGCAGGGTGGGAAGGGGTCGCACTTCAGTGAATTTCTATTGCCATTTATTTTTAAAACTGCCGTTGAGTGATCTTGAGTGGCAAGCTCTATATTTACGTACTCGTTATTATTGGGGTTTAGATCCTTGCTTTATTCAGTACGGACCGAGAAAATATGGTGTTTGTTATCTCTCTTCCTTAGAAGAAAGGAAAACATTTCGTGTCAAGCACGCAGAAAACGACCACGCTGTTAAACACAGCCTGTAATACTGACCAATCATAGGTCGCGTGACATCCTGAGAGACTGGATGTGGAGCGAAAATAACGTTCAAGTCTAAGAAAAGGAGATTAGTGCATTCATGGTTCACAGTCTACACCAAATACCCGTGATTTTCTTTCACGGGAAATATATAGCGACTGACCGGCGGCGTGAGGTAAACCGCATGATAAATGCTGTAATTCTCCAAGGTATTAGTAGATAACGGGATTTTTCTAGTGAAGAAATGGGAGGAGGATAGAAGAGTAACCCATGCTTGCCGCTGTTTGTCGCTACAAAATTCACAAATCTTTTATGGCGGAAAGGAAGAGTTCATCATCATCATAGTTCCTAGCTATCTTCTGGGAGAATAGGGCCATTGACTTGTCTCTTCCAATCTCTTCTGTCTCTCGCAACAGTGACGGCTTCATTCTAAGTACCAAAACCCATCTTTTGCCTCTCTCCCTCTACAGTTCTCCTCTGTCTCCTTTGGTCGACTTGTACTCCTCTTTCCCTCAGGTGTCCAGGTTAGGGCAATACGTGCATGGATTAGGGCATGAAAACAACGCAGTTCTGTTTGCGGAATTCATCGTAAGCCAGGATAACACACACGGCGATAGATAACGGGAGACAAAACACAGAGTCGACCATGCACAGAATCACTAGACAGGTTGGTGGCTAGGATATATCCAATTACCCGGGCTTATGAGATTATCGGGAAAATCTACGATTGTCTAGGCGCGACGGTTCGAATACCAAAAACCAAAAACCAAAGAAAATTGACAAACGATGGAATAAGCTAGGGAAATAACGAGCTGTCTTCCTAATGCGGCGAACATAAAACTTAGGATGAGGTGGACTGAAGTGGCTGAAAATCATTTAAAGAGTGGATATGGAAATATATTTTTTTTGGAACAGGCTGCATATGCACTCCCATATGAAAAGGTCAGTTATGCTTGCCGGAAAATTTGTATTAAACACCTAAAGGAGAATAATTTGGGCGCGGCTCGAGCTTTCTTTGTCTCCTAAAAGATAGCACTTTAAACCAGCCGCTGCTTGGAAAAGGAGCCTGTGCTAGCATAGTAGACTGGACTCGAGAGAGCAGCGGAAAACGGAAATGAGAGCATTATTATTCTTCGGGTACATCCTAAACGATACTCTGACAGCTAAAAATAGTGGCGTTTGGCCTGAACACGCTAAGTGAGACTTACACCCTTAAGCGAGAATGCAGGCATCTAGTCCGAGCTTTTCATGTGGGAGTGTCTCCTCGCCCCAACCCCCCCCCTCCGGGTATCCTGTAAGCCTCCGCTCTATCCTGTTAGCCATAATGGGCTTGTTTTTAGAGACGTGAAATCTGGCACAGCAAGTCTCCACATTGCTAACATTAATTTCGTAGCGATGCGTTCTTAAAATCCACAAAGTAAATATATGGATATAACTTATTAGACATCTCAATGTTAATCTTTGGATTTTATAATCCGTCCTTTGGCGAGACCGCAAATGACGCAATATACAGCGCTGTTACAGACCTGATACAGGGTTTTCAATAATTAACAATTATTCACCGTAGTGGAGGTGAATAGTGGTGGATATCCATCACTTCCAGTGACACTGAGGTGAATAATTGTTTTTGTATATACCACAGAAGCTGAATAATTAGCGGACCAAAACGTTATTTTATGTGTGACAAGCGGTCGGAAATTTTAAAATCTCTCGCGCCGGCTCAGGCTCGGAGGTGAATAGTACTTGCTAATCACCTCTGAGTTAACCAATCAGAGCGGGGGCATGACCCCCCTGCCTGCTGTACATGGGTATTTTTATTGACCACAAAGCAGGATTTTGTTTGACAAACTATTAATTTTTTGCAAAGAGGTGCATTTTGAATACCTTTCTAGGCAGATATCTCTCAGTGACACTTGATATCCACTTAGGCAGTAATTTNTACGGCAGCAACCTGGTATCTAAAAGGTGCTTATCCTCTGCATATCGACAGTTCATATCCACATGGTTGCGATTTCGACGGAAATCAGAGTGGTGATGTTGTAGGAAGCGAAGACAATTTTGGATTTTACCAAGCTGTAAATTCGAAATTCCGTTGTACTTCAAGCTCAGAAGCAACCACTCAGTTTTGGTTTGGGAGCAAATGACTGACTTCACTACCGCAGAGCAGAGAAGTTTTTTTTCCTTCATTCGTCAATAAATGAACACGGTATGATTAAGTTAAGCCGCAGTTTAATTGAATGACGGTGTCAAATACCTTTTCGTGTCGAATGTTACGCGGCCGTAACTCGCGTTCCCCTTTTCAATTTCTTTGCAAGTTGTCCGGCGGAGTCATAATAACCTTGAATGAAAGGTATTTGCATGAGCGTAATTTACACACTTGGTAATTTGTTACTGGAAACCTGCAAGGTAGTCGTTTTTTAACTTGGAAAATCCGAGTTTAAGGTATGGATGGGAAATTCACTCAATTCTTCTCTTGCTGTTAGACATTTTGTGAATCCGCTGACCAATGTATAAGGNATACCTTTCTAGGCAGATATCTCTCAGTGACACTTGATGTCCACTTAGGCAGTAATTTCTTTGAAGTCCTTTCTTAAAACAAGTGCAACTTCTCTGCTACTCATTCAAATGTACCAACACGGCAACAAACTGATTCTTAACTCTTCAGAAAAAAATGAAATGAGATAACCTTTACAACAAAATTCTTTCTACTAATATTCTTACAAAACCAAACCTCATTTTCAACTTTTCATTGATTCTCCCACGGTTCATTATTAAGGTTTTGAATAATCATAAAATAATAAAAATTAATCATAAAATAAAATAAAAATAATAAATAAAAAAATAATAAATAATAACTAACAAAAAATAATAAATAATAAAAATTAATGATATTAAATCATTCAGATGTCTTAGGTATCCTGAGATGAACAGTGATAACGTCGATCGGCGACTACAAACAAAATGTACGCTATTTCTTTGGAAAGTTTAGTTTGGCCGCTTTTTTGTAGCATTTAAAAATTTCAGTGGTCGTCGTTGTTGTTGTATTTGCATTTTTTATTATTATCATTTTTGTTTTCATTAATGATATCCAAACAGACGGCGGTAAGAGGTCCTACAGGCGGCGGTAGATCGCCGGTAACCGGCTTATATTGAAACCCCTGTTTAGTAGCCTTGTATAAGCCTCTAACCTTCGCCATCTTCTGGCTTTAAT